CTGGCCATCAACCTCATCACCTTCGACGACCGCTTCAACCTCTACAAGATTGAAAAGGACCTCGCCACCGAGATCAAGCCCATCCCGCCGCAGATCGACACGGCGCTCTACGCGTATGCGTGAGCGCGCCGTGCGGCGGCGCTGGGCTCGAGCTCGGCGAGTCCCCTTCTCGACACAACCAAGCCGGCACGGGTCGTGACCGCCGCGAGGCGTGACCCAACCGTGCCGGGGGGTTGCAGCTCCCCTCTCCGCAGAGTCCACCCCGCACGCCGAAAGTCTGGCTTTGCCGCGGCGTCCGCCGCCGCCGCCGCCGCCGCCGCCGCCGAGCAATTTGCATTCGCGCTTGCTGCTCAGCGCGCAGCGCGCGCGCGTGCGGCGCCTTTGCCGCCGCGCTTGCGTTTTCGCAGGTTCGGTTCGCGCGACCGCGCCGCGGCTGGGTGTGTCTGTTGTGAGAAGCCTCGAGGCTGGCTCCATAATTAAGAAGGTTAGAATATCGCTCTCGCTGAAAAACCGACTTTCCTCCACTGCTCATATCTGCTCGGTGCTCGCACACAGAGGCATCCTCAGGCTCTCGTCACTGCACTCGACTCTGTGTGCTGGGACACGGGGCGGAGAGAGTTCGAGCAGCAGTCGAGAGTCGTCAGTCCGACACGTGCAGTGCCAGCTGCCACGAGCCACGTCGATCGACGTGCCAGTGGAGCTGAGACGCGGACACGCGGACATCGCGGACACACCTCACCCGCAGAGCAGACGCAGTGACGCACGAGGCACGACGCACATCGTCACTCGATCTTTTCGGTGCCTTAACACGTTTGGCGAGCGTCGGAGCGTCCCCTCGGAGACTCTCCGCACTCCCGACTCCCGGGACTCGCTCCTCCTCGCTCTAGTGTGCTACTTTACGACGTTTTACGCGCGCTAGCCCGAGCCGTTCGCGGCGACTCCGTCGGCGGCTCAGAGCGCGGCCTGACCCGCCGGCACACGCCCCGCGGCCTAGCTCCGCTCTAAGCTCTATCCTCAACCAGACTTGTGCAGGGCCGTGGTCGCGCTGAGGTGCGCCGTCCAGTTGGCGGCGAAGCGCATGATGTGCGCCTGCACGATGCCCTGCACCGCCGGCTTGCTCATCCCGAGGTGGCCGAGCGCCTTGCGCCACGAGTAGACGAACCCGCCGCTCGAGCGCATCTCCTTGTTGATCTGCACCACCGCCGCCGTCGCCGGGCGGCGCAGCGCCTGCGCGACGGTCCGCTCGGCCGGCCCGACCATCTCGAGCATGTTTCCGGCGTGGTGAAACATGCGGCCCATCTTGCCCGGGTCCCACGCGTAGAAGACGAAGCGGTGCCCCACGCCGTCGAGCCGCTCCAGGGGGAGCGACCAGTGCGGATCGATGAGCAAGTCGACCGGAGGCTCCGCAGCGCCGCGCGCGAGCGAGTACGGCGCGCCCTCGCGCCGCATCATGCAGACGAGCGCGCAATGCCGGCAGATCGCGCGCCACACCTCGAGAAGAAAGTAGTTAAAGCGCGGCAGTACCATCTCGGCGGAGAAGGCGCCGACCATCAGCAGCGGCGCCTCGCCCGAAGTGCCGTTCCCAAAGCAGCGCGGTGAGCGGCGGGGCCTCGCCGACCCGCCCGCGCCCCCCTGGCCGCCGCGCCTCGCCCCGCGCGCCGCCAGCTGCAGCTGCGGCGTCGCGGGCTCGTTGGCTATCCGCGGCGGCGTCCAGCCGGGCAAGTGGTGGGTGGGTCCCGTGGCGCGGCAGGCGGTGACGAGCACCTGTGTAGTCAGTCCACCGGCGGTGAGCACTGCCGGATTGCCTCACCGGCGCGGCAGGCGGGGTTGAGCACGTTGCGGACGTCGTTGCGCGCCGGGTCGTGCGAGGCTAGATTCTCCCAGTGCTGGCGCGAGACGCGCGAGAGGTGCGTCCAGAGCCACGAAGTGGTGTAGACGCGCACGACCTGCTGCGTGAAGTCGAGCGCCTGCGGGCCGCGTCGTGGACATGTCTTGGGCGTGTCGCAGACGGGTCCGCCGCCCGCGCGCGAGGCCGATCGCCTGCGAGGCGAAGGCGACGACGGTCTCGTTGTCGGGGATGTCGAAGGGCGAGGCGGCGACCTATGGCGCGTGTCGTCGACGTGTCGCGGGCGGGTCGCGGACATGGACATGGTGTGATGGACAGGGTGAGGGGCGAGGCGGCGGCCGGCGTGATGACGAGCGGCACGCCGAGCTCGAGCGCGACGAGGATCTTCGTGTTTACGCCGGTGGTGCGGAGCACGGGCACGATCATCAGCCGCCAGGAGAGGACCTCCTCGAGCAAGCCTGCGGGGCGTGTCCGGGACGTGTCATGGAGGCGTCGCGGAGGCGGGGGCAGCTCCTCGTCTGGCCGAAGACCCTCCGCCGACAAGTAGCCCATCTCGTCGATCCCGTTCGCCTGCTCGCTGCCCGCGTACTGCGTCCCC